AAGACACTCTTATTTAAACAGTGTCTGTTGTAATGTGGAAACTTTTTTGCATGTTTTTAAATATTGTCTGCTATTGGGTAGAAAAGAAAGTTTGGCCATGTTTTAGTATGGTATATAATTGTGCTGGAAATAGGGTTTATTTCCAATACACTAAAGAATATGATAAATTATAACATACCAAATATAGTGAAAAAAAAGTTTAAGTTTATCAACATGCTTTAATTATGAAACTTTTAGTGACACCATCTCCAGATCATGATGCAAATCCAGTGCCAGATTTATGCATGGGGTGCTAAAACTAAGAAATACTAAAGAGATATAAGAACAGAGAAGATTTGCTTATTTTCAGATTTAATGGGGCGCATCTGAACAAATTTGAAATGATTTATAGTATTTGGGCCTCTCTAGTTGGAGTGGGTCTGTTAAGTTTGATGGTGGCCCTTTGAAGTCATTATCTTTCATTCCAGTATGATACAATCCAAGAATCTATTATTTTTTATCCAATCTCCATGACATCATTACTAGCTTGGCTATTTGAAGTTGACAATTTTAGCAATAAATATAATTAAATTTTTTTAACTGTGTTGAATTTGGATTGAAAAGTTGTAGTAAGTCAGAAACTTCCGTCTTCATCATTTTTCAAGATGCTTTGCTAGTGAATTTCAATACTAGAATGTCAGTGTAATACAGGTCCTTCATTCTAGATATATTTCTGTTGGGTGTAAAAATTTGAATAAAAAATCATGAAATTGCTAATGAAATAATTTAGATGAGTTCCAAAATCATTAAAAATTTTAGTTCAAGCATTTTATGTTTTAGACCCAAAAAAGCATAATCTAATAATATATATATATATATATATATATAGAGAGAGAGAGAGAGAGAGAGACGTAACAGAGGCAGGGTGAGTGTATGTAATGAAGAGGGGGGTCACAAAATTGTATTAGTCCAGTGGCCTCTTAAGGCCTAAATATTACCCTGTGCAAATTACTCAATGGAATAAAGGAAAATGACTTTGCCCAAACAATGCTAGGTATCACTGCTAGTAAATATAGAAATAAGATTCAGAAACCTCATTAAACTTTGCAGGAAATAGTTTTTAAGTTAGATGTGACACAAAGAGAAAGTATAGATAAGTTGATTTCCTTTCATTCTTTCAAAGGCTTATATAAAACCACCAGAGGACATCCATTAAAAATTCAACCACTGATCTATTGTCTGAAGATAGAAAAATATTTTTTTTCACAGCGGGCAGTGAATGAACTGAACACTCTCGCACTTTCAGTAGTCATGCCAAGACTTCAGATGTTTTCAAAAAGGAGATCAAAATATGTACATTGTGCCATTTTCAGTGTCTTAAATGATTTTTCTATTTTCAATTCAATTATTCCTTTTTTCTGCAAGTTGCCAATGCTCTTTGTTATATTTGTTATCACACATTTACTTCCCATTTTGGTCTGATGCAATGATTCCCAATGTGAGACACATGCCCCACCAGTGGGGCATGCACAGCCTCTTGGCTAACTATACCAACAGAATAAGGGGCAATTTGAGAATGTGTTATTAACAGTGAATTGTTTTCTAGTGAGTCTGAGTGAGAGTGTTAATGTGTGTTAGCATATACAATGCATATACAGTATTTATACATAAAAATATTTTGTGTGTATGTACGTACATGTGTAATTGGGCTACATGTAAGAATTAAATATTACAGGGAGCACCAGAATTTTAGAAATGCCAAAGTGTGGCGTGGCCAAAATTGGTTGGGAACCACTAGTGTAATGGCAACGTTAATAATAATAAACAAGTAAATATATATATATATATATATATATATATATATACATACATACATATATATACTTATTCTTAATCCAGAAATCTTATAAGTATAAGTACTGCTCGAAGAAAACCTTGGTATATTGATTTGCAAATAAACAAACCAACACCAAAGGAAAAAAATAAAAAAAGAAAGAACCAAGAACATGACGTTAACTGAAAATAATCGTCCAGCATAAGAGTTCAAGGCCCAAAAAAAAAAAAAAAATAACCCTAAATAAATAAAGTGCTCAATACAATGAGTAGAGCAGACCTAGTTAAACCTAGAGAGCCAGATTAAACTACCAAGCTTTCACCTAAGCAGATCGTCAAGGAAGGCTGGCAGGCCTTCCCTGACGACCCGCTTATATATTTATTGTATATTGCTAATAAATATACATTTTTACTCGCCTGTAGCACAGCTCCGAGTTTCATGCCCAACAAAATCATCAGGTGCTGATTGAAACCTGACAATGTAAAATGTATATTTATTATTAACATATAATTTCTAATCATTTAATTCTACAATGAACACTATTTTATTAACACTAGAACCCAATATGCTGTATTACACCCACACATATATATTTTTAATCATTTAATCTCAAGCAAAGTGGGAATGCCACTAGTACATAGGTGGGGTTACAGAGCGTGAAAGCAAAATGAAACCTGAGAATAGGGAGGATTAAGGAAAAGACAAAACACAGATGGGAATCACGAAAACAGGAAGAGATCCACAGGTGGGAAGTGCAAGAAAAGAAACTGTTGGAGTAGTAGTGGCGATTAGCTATTTAAGCAGTTAAAGAGTGGGACCTAGATGCCAATCTAATAGAATGCTTAAATTCAAGTAGTTGGGGGCATCGGTATATATATATATATATATATATATATATATATATATATATATGTGTGTGTGTGTGTGTGTGCGGTGATGTGCCTCCAAATGAAACTCACTGTTCTTCAGACTGGTCACTGTATTATCATTTATAGAGTTCAGATGTAGCTTTTCTAGCACAGAGCATCAGGTTACTTGTAGCAGGACGTTCTCAAATACTTTTTGTACCTCACTACTGTAAATTTATATGGAAGCATATTTTCTTTTAACTTGATGCTGACTTCCTCTTGGTTCACAAATGATATCTCTTATCTCTCAGCACAATGGGGTAAAAATACTGAACGTTTATCATTCAATACATCCAAAACTAAACTCGTGACATTTCAACACTACCGAGCAGACCCTAAACCTGCATCAATCCTGATGAGTGGTCATGCCCTCAAAGAGGCTCCTTGCCTCAAACAGCCATTGGGGCTAAAGTTCACTCCTGAGTTCAAATGGAACATGTATATTCATACCATTGCAAAAAACACTAGAAGAATAGTTGGTTCTTTTGAATTGATTCACAAAATACTTAACTTTTGCTGCCATGCTCTATCTTTACCAGAGTCAGATCAAACCAAGAATGGAATATTGCTGTCATATCTGGGCTGGGGTTTCTAAATCATCACTGTCCAGCACTTGACTTCAAGGTCAAAAGCGCCTATGTGGCCCCGTGGGTGGTGTCTTATTCTCCCTACTGTGACCCTTATCCCACAGACAAAATGTTACTAACCTATCATTACTCTATTGCTATTACTATGGCAGATGTTTAGATGAGTTACATTCTTTAGTTACACCAGTTCAGACATTTACAGCTAGGATCTGCAATGCCATGTTCATAGTAGCAAACCATCCCAATTCCCTTCATATTCTTTTGATAAGGAACAAGTTCCACTCAGACAACTACTTCTCCAGAAATGTTGCTTTGTGGAACATACTCCCAAGTCAGTGCCTCCTTAACAACTACAATCTTGATCTTGTGGATATGTGGTAGGTATGTGTTGTAGATATTATTGATTATGTTTGTCAGAAACATAAGCCATAAAAAGAATGGAGGTGTAAAGTATAATCAAATATTTTTATTATGAGTGATGAGCGAATCCTTTGGTATTTTGTATAGAAAAATGTTTGTTTATGAGGTGAATTATTGGTAGTAACTTGGAGAAAGTCCAGTTGTGTAGTTTTTAAGTCAGACTGTGCTAAGGGTGGTGGTGGTGGTGGTAGTAGTAGTAGTAGTAGTAATATAAGAAACAGGTCAGTATCAAACTACTGTGTTTTTCTCAGTCCAAAGCAGGGCAGAAATATAATTAGCAGATAACACCTTAACTAATTCTTCATGCATGGATGGTTTTTCTGCAGTATTGTTTTTGTTCCATTCTGTTCTTCAAGCACAGAGGTGTCAGTTTATATCCTTTTGACCTGGCTCTGAGATTCTGGCAGAAAATTTGGTTTCAGGTAACATCAAAAGTCTTTGTGTTAATTTTTTGATTAGCTCCAATTATTTGATTTTCCAGCATTCCTTTCATTTTCTTTTCTTTTTATAATGAAAGTTATGCATGGAGCCTCCCTGAGTTTTGTATCTTTTTAGTCAAATTAATAACTCTGTTCCTGCAAACTTCTGGTGTTTTTCAGTTGGGTTCAATCTTTCTTCTTTGTCCTTTTTATTTGAGGGTTGCCTTCTCATTAGAAAGAGTGGCAAAGAAAGAGATAAGGGTTTAAAAAGAAAGTGAAAATGTCTTATTTTAATTTGAATTGTTTCTAATTTATTTTTATTGGGACACACTACAATCACTTTAAGTCCAATGTCAGTTAATATCTATCCTACACATCTTCATAATATGCATTTCTTAATTCTTCTTTCCCCCTTCCTTATAACAATCTCCCTCAGTACCATCTACCTTGTGTGGCTCTTGGGCCTTGTATTAGGTGAAAATATTAGTGAAATGTCAGTAAATAAAAAAATGTTATATAAGTCAAATCAGTAACTATTCTTATCTGCAGTGATATCAAATAGTGTTTTGTTGTTTGTTTGTTTTACGGCATATCAACCTAAATGGGTTATTTAATGCTGACAAGATTTTTATATGTTGTAATATTTTTCTTTTTTAAAAATATACTGCTGGTAATAATTTTTTTTCTTCAAAAATGTATTGCTTATTTTACTATTTTAAGTATATTTGGAGGTGCATTAATTCATGCATTTAACAAGGACATTAACACAAAGTGAACACTATGGCTTTGGCCAGAATATGAACTTAAACTACCAACCATTTTTACCACTGATTACTGGATGCAGTATGCACCAGGTGAAACACTAGTTCCTATATGATCACTGAAGTTAAGCAGTGTGAAGCCTAGTCAGTATCTTGATGGCTGACCACTTAGGAATATCAGGTGCTGTAAGCTTGGACGTGAGAATCCTGTACTGAATAATGACATAGAATTTTTAATCGGAGTGCTGAGTTCCATTCCCCATTGGGTTCGCTATATTCACTTACATGCAAATACTCCTGGGAAAAGCATGAATCCACTTCTGATCCCCCCAGCTATGGGTAAATTAGTGAAACTTGTCTCACTAAATCCTTATTATCTCAAAATAAAAAAATTCAGACAATCTAAAAAATTATTTTCTGGCTTTAAATAACCTGCAATGGGTTGATAAGTCATAGAAAATGAACTAAATCAATCAATATATATATATATATCCCTGCTGTGCGCTGACAGCTTAGTGGTAGAATCTTTGACTGACACCAATTCAGTCGGGTTTTGATCCTAGCTAGAGGCAACCGGATGTCTAGCCACACTGAATAGTGTGAAAAGTCAGATGACTTTATATATATATATATATATATATATATATATATATATATATATATATATATATATATATATTTGTATGGGTGTGTGTTGCCAAATAGTTAACGAATTTTATTTTTAATTTGACATTTTTATCCCTTCAGATGTTATTTTTAGTGGATATCTGTATGAGAAGAAACTCCATTTATTTTAAGCAATAATTCTTTTGCTTACCGGGTTGCACACCCAAGAAAACTTAAAGATAATGTACCCTCCTCTGTTTTCTTCATCAGACATTAAGCTATTAAATAGGTCAGTGTCTGATCCTTACCCCACCCTTCCTCACTATTAAGTATTGTAATAAAAATAAATTTAAAAGCATTCCTATTTCTCCCTTCCCTCTCTAATTTCGACCATGTCTGTCACACTATCTATGACCACCCTCTATATCATTTTCATCAACTTAATACTACACCTCAAAAGTGTAAAAATTTATATGTAAATTTAAATTCATTTTTTCACCCTTGGAAGTGTGGTCTGATGAGCCAGGGAAAAAGAAATTCCCTGAGGAAATAAATTATATACTATGGATCCTTAAAGTTGTCTGGTTTCATTGAATTATATACATATATATATAGGCAGGGTATCTTCATTCATGCATGTTTGGTTGAATAATCTGGACATATTATGTCTATTGTTATTTTGACCCTTTTGAATTCTCTTTTCAACTTCTTAATGTTGATATTAAATTCATTAAGGAAGGGAACCTTAGTTTTTTTTTTCTCGGGAAATGACCTCAGATTAAAAGTACGTGAGAAAATAAAAATAATTGTAAAGAAAAAACACTAAGACACCTTCTTTAATGAATTTGATATCAACATTAATAAGTTGAAAAGAGAATTCAAGAGGGTCAAAATAACAATAGACATAATATGTCCAGATTATTCAACCAAAGATGCTTATATATATTTTTTTTGGTGTGTGTGTGTATGTGTGTGCCTGTGCATATGTGATGCCCAGTGTTGCCACATTTGTGCAAAAGAATGAATGACTCCAGCAGGACCTTGGACAACCAACTTCAAAGAAACCAACCCAACTCCTGCCCCTACTGACAGCAACAACTTCACACCTAATTGCTATCCTTAAGGAACCATATAAGAACAATTTTTGCCACCTTTCACACAACTATGTTTCATATTCTGTATTTTGACCAATACATGTTGTTGAAATCTTAATCCTTGTTTGTTCCTTTCTTTTGCAACCATTTGCTTGTTCTAACAGTAGTAATATCTTGAATTTTTATTAGATGAAGCATTGTCAACAATTATTAAGTTTGACTAGTATTTCTTTTACTGAAATTTCTATTGTTTTTTATCTGGTAGTATTAGTAGTCATATGAGTTTTTATGAGACCAAGCATTGTTAACAATTATTAATTTTGCCTTGCATTTCTTTCATTCTATTGTTTTCCCTTTAGTAGTATTAATGAAAATATTATCTTGAATTTTTATTAGACAAAGCTTAGACAAATTATTAATTTTTGAATAGTATTTCTTTCATCTTCATTTCTAACCTTGAGTAATTTTTGATTCTGATCACAACTCTCAGTTTAATATTTTATGACTGCTCACTAAGTAACATTAACTGGAAATGAAAAAAAGAAGCTTCTGGTGATATTTGAACCAACATTGTTTCTATTAACAACGAAAACTTTTCAGCAATGAAAATAATAATGACATTTCTTTTATTATTTTTCCTTTGAGAAAAAAGCCACATAAATAAACTGAAAGAAAGACAAGATAAAAATTAATTATGCTTCATCTTGTGGGACATTGTCAGTGAACCTCATGACATTTATGCTTCCACAGCTAATCCTGGTGATTTAAATTGCCGTTTCCAATGTGAGCAATAGGAATTTAAAACTTTCCTGAATGTGAGATTTATTATGATTCTCATCTTCAAATTCTGGGAAAATAAAACCATTGGTTAAAAAAAAAAAAAACAAAAAAAAAAAAAACATCTTTTTATATTGGAATTAAGATGTTTGAAATTGTGATTTATTATCATTCTCATCTTCATAATCTTGGAAGATAAAACCATTGGTTAAAAAGGTTTTTTACTGGAATGAAGATACTTGAAACCATTGGTTTAAAAAGAAAATGAACACTTGTGTAAATTGAGATTTTTTATCATTCTGATAATCTTGGAAAATAAAACCATTGCTCAAAAATATAATATTTTTTTTTTTTTTGTAATGCTTATCCTTAAAACTTTGATATTTCTTGCCTGCACTCTCCATGGTATTCTTAATAGTCATTAATAAATTCTCATCTACATTGCTTCAACTTCTCTTCTTCATTTGTGAGGAAGTTGTCCAACATTTATTGCCATATATGAGATTTTACATTACATAGGAGTTAAGGACTTTTCTTTGTTTTTTCAAACATTTTATAATCCCTTGTTTAAAGAAATAAACTATCATCAAAACAATAGCAATTTGAAACTATATACCAATCCGTCATGAAACCAAAGTTTAAAGTATATGTCTCAATGATTACCAAACTGCAATGTGGGATTGCATTATAATGCCACTATTCTATAGCTAGTGTTATAACACACTTATATAACATACTTTGAATAAGGATTCTCTATATATAATGCTTCAGCTACTTGCCCTGATGCCTGTATTAGTCTGAAGAAATGGCTAACAGTCTTACCTCTGACCTGAGGTTTTATAGTTAGGGATTAATTCATATAGTCAATGGGAATGTACTATTCACTCTACAACATCCCCTCTTTTGAGATTAATACTTTTAGAAGCATTTTTTATTAGTATTAGTATCTCCCCCTTCTCTTTATGGAGTGTTCACCAACATACATAATTTTGTAGCATTTCCATCTTAGATCCACTTCCAGTTCTGCAGTAAGCTTTCTTTTCCTAGAACATGTCTTTGTAGGTTCCATGACCTGTTGTTGTGCTGGCACATTGAAAATGTTATATAACAATTTTTTTGGTTCTTCCAATAATACTGGTCTTTCATCACAATCTTTTTTTTTCAGCTGATTATGGTGCCTTTTATGTTCAATTTTTTCCCTTTTCACCATGTAAATCAATTTCCTGATACTTTGCCATCCTTATATGCTCTGAACACTTTATCACTGAGCTTGAAACTTCTGATTTTATGCTTCTGGCAAACATTAGTTTTGCTGGTGACATGTCTGCTGGTGTACTTGAATTAGGTGTTACCTGGTAAACACTAAGAAAAATTTGAAGTCCTTCCTCATTTACTTTCTCAAGACTTGCTTTCTTCAACACTCTTTTGAATGATACCACAAACCATTCAGCTTCTCCATTAGACCTTGGGTGATATGGTAGAGTCATAACATCTTCAATGGAGAACATCTTACAAAAGTCTTGGAATTCTTTACCTGTGAATTGCGTTCCATTATCAGATACTATAGAATCTGTTATGCCATAATTCACAAACAGTTCAATTAAGAAATTCACTATCATTGAGAATGTTGGAGTTTTGCTCTTATAAATTCCCAGCTATTTTGTGAAACTATCAACTACCACAAGATAATGATCTATTGATAGGACCTGCAAAATCTATATGCAGTCTTGACCATGACAGGTCTGTCTTTGGCCAAGGTTCTATCTTTGTGATAGGTAGTTTTGCTGCCTGAGCACATCTACTTGTTTTCTCTATTCTTTCAACATCTTGGTCCATTCCTGTTCAATATATGAAATTTCTCATCATAGATTTCATTCTAGAAATACCAAGGTGTCTGCAACGAAAATCCTTTAATATTTGTTTGTGTAACAAACTCGGTATTACAACTCTTTGACCATACATTACTACACCATTGCATATCAAGTAAGCATTTAAATATGGCTTTCATTCTTTGTTACTCTCAATTGTTTTTTTTTATTTTTCACATCATTTTCTGTTTTCTTTTATTTCATCCAGGGTCATTGGTAACTCTTGTACTATGTTGCACAAAATGTCTTTTCACTTTTTAGTGCTTTGATGACCATGTTCTCCAATGGTTTTGCATTTTTAGGTATTAATCTAGATAATCCATCTGAATGTCCTATTTTTTTAGATGATTGGTACTAAATTGTAAAATCATAGATTAACAGGATGGTACTTCAGTGTTATAGTCTATTAGCTGTATGTGTAGGTACATATACGCATCCTAATTTTTTAGATGGTTGGTATTCCATCATAAAATCATAGTTTAACAGGATGATACCCAGATACTAATTAGCTTTATGAATAGGTGTGAGAAATGAGATGACTCCCACAAAGCAAATTTGTTTGGTGTGTCGGGTCTTGTTGAAAGATCGCAACCACCATTAAAAGTGAAATGTATTATTCCAAAATTCCTATCTCATGTGCAGACATACAATTAAAAAGATTAATTCAAACCAGCTTGAATTTATAAAATAGGAAGTCTTGTGCGAACGAGAATTAAGTCTCATATGCAAAGATTAGTTACCCCCCGCCCCGCCGACATAGGCATAAATAGCAAGTCTGTGAGGGGGATTCGTTGGTGTGACGTTGTATGGACAGATGAACGAGAACAAGTGACAGTATAGGTCAGT